TTTCATCCGCAGGGTTGGGAGGAGAATGTGATCCCGAAGGCCACCCCGCCTCAGGCCCATCCCTAATTCTAGCATATGGGCAGCTACTGTCTTTTCTGCAGAATCAAGAGCCTTTCACCTTTATAGGTCAATAAGCCACTTACTTAGCCACCTTTATACTTTCAAAAAAAGATTATTTAACTCGTACAATATTGCAAAAAAAAGTACATACCCTTTTAGATTGTGGATTTTGGGCATTTAAAAAAGGCATGTATTTAATATTAAAAGTAAAATATAAAGTATTCAAAGTTTAAGTAAAGCCTGATACCCAAGTTAAGGAGGAATGTGGAGGGGAAAGAAAGGAAAGGAAAGGAAATGACAGAAGTACACACTTTTGGAGTCACGGCATTCCGTGAATAGTAGGGTCGTAAATCAATAGTGGTACCTAATAACAAACTCGACAAAATTTTGTTTTAAAACCTAAAAATCATACATTTTACTTAGAAAACCAAATATAACAACTCAAAATTAAGGCTTAATCATTAGCATTATGGTACTGAAAGGGCGTCGTGGTGGTGCTAATTCTTCTTCACATGTGACTGAGCCTCCGGACCTTTAAACTCTGATTCATGCAATGGACCATTAGCTGAGCCTTGGTGATAAACTTCCCATGTTACCTAGGTAATAGGTTTTCAATTGACCTAGGATTTGTCCAAATAGATTGGTGGACTCCAAATTTGATTAGAGAGCGAATTGATCATCCATGTAGACACGAGACATAGGCTTTAGGAAGATCCTAGGAATTTACGCTCTTCGAGTCAAATACCCCTAGGTTTGCAAACCACGCTACAAGGGCATCATAGAATGCTAATTCGTCCCACACGTAACTGAACTCTTCGAACTAAGATCTTTAGATTTCATTTGGTAGTTTGATTTCCCCCAAACTACCTGTGGCCTTTAGGTGTCCATCAAATTAGGTCTATCAAAATGGAATGGTGGAGACTCCAATCTAGTATTTAAGTTTAGGGTTAATATCACGAAAATCCCAAACTGGTACAATTGTGATAATTTTACTCCGAATTTTTTGACCACCAAAAACCCAAAACTTGTACATCTGTGATAAATTTACCCCGAACTACTTTTTTTATCATAAAAAATCCTACACTAGTACACTTGTGACAATTTTATCCTGACCTAATTTTTTGACCACCAAAAACCCTAAACTGGTACACCTATGACAATTTTACCAAAAACTAATTTTTTGACCACTAAAAACCCCAAACTGGTATATTTGTGACAAATTTATCCTCCGTTAGTGTTCGTTAAATTGGATTAATATCACGAAAAATCACAAATTGATAAACTTGTGACAAGCATAAGGATAAAATCCCAAACTAGTACACCCGTCAACTACCACGTGTCATCAAACTTAGCAATTTGACAGTAAAATTTAACGGAAACTAACAGAAGGTAAATTTGTCACAGGTGTATCAATTTAAAATTTTTTATGGTCAAAAAATTAGTTCAAGATAAAATTGTTACAGGTGTACTAGTTTGGAATTTTTTGTGGTCAAAAAATTAGTTCGGGGTAAAATTATCATATGAGTATTAGTTTGAGATTTTTTATGATCAAAAAATAATTTGGGGTAAATTTGTCACAGGTGTACTAGTTTGGGGTTTTTCGTGGTATTAACCCTTAAGTTTATGATCATTTGCATATTACTGACCTTGCATTTCGGAAAATCCTAGGAACCAAGGAGCTTCTAGCTAGCGACTCTCGGTTTGCAGAATCGAGATGCTACGATTGAATTCTTTATAGTGATGTAGAACATGTGCACATTTATTCTTGTTCACCATAAAAGCACACGAAAACAAACGCGTGTTTAATTTAATGAGAAAATTGTTTAAAAAATTCTAAACTTATTGTATAGCGGCCAATTCAGTTATAAAATTTTTTATTATGCCAATTTAGTCTTAAATCTTTTTACGATTTGCCAATTTAATCATAAATCTTTCAATTGTGCCAATTTAGTTGAAGATTAATATAATGAAAAATCCCAAACTGATACACTTGTGACAAATTAATCTCAAACTAATTTTTTGACTACGAAAAACCCCAAACTGTATGACTGTGACAAAATTACCTCAAACTAATTTTTTGACCACCAAAAACTCCAAACTGGTATACTTGCGACAAATTTGCCTCAAACTAATTTTTTGACCACCAAAAACCTCAAACTGGTACACCTGTGATAAATTTACCCTCTGTTAGCTTCCGTCAAATTTTATCGTTAAATTTGCTAACCTGAATGACACATGGTGACATGATATGGTGACGTGTCAAGTCCATGTGGAAATACATAAGGTAAATACCATGAATAATCCTAAATTGGTCCGCTAATAGAGAGTAAATTTGTCACAAGATTACAAGTTTGGGGTTTTTGATAATCAAAAAATTAGTTTAGGGTAAATTTGTCATAGGTGTACCGGTTTGGGGTTTTTCGTGGTATTAACTATTTAGTTAACCTTTTAACTATTTACTAATGCAGTCCTACACATTTTTACAATTTGCCAATTTAGTCGTTCCAATCAATTTTGACCGAAAATCGTAGACATAGCGATCTAGTTATTGTCAATCATCCCATGTGGCAAGGTCAGCGCTGACGTGGACAATTGTCGTAATTTTTTAAAGTTTTCTGATTTTTTTTTATTTTTTCTTTCTTTCCTTTTTCTTTTTTTCAATCTAGGTTAGCGACCTTTGCCTGGATCTAGACGAGGGCATCAAGCTGTCGCCTAGACTAGGCAAGGGTTAATCAGTGACATTGCCAGCCCAAAGTTGCCAAAAAAAAAAAAAGAAAGAAAAAAGAAAAGAAGAAAAAGAAAAAAAATAATTCAAAAATTCAAAAAAATTGCAAACATTGTCTGTGTTAGTGCCAGCCATGTCACATACGATGGCCGACGATGCTGAATAGACCGCCTCGCCAGGGATTTCCAGCCAAAATTAGTCAGAAAGATTAAATTGACAAATCATAAAAGGTTTAGCACTACATTGACAAATCGTTAAAAATGTTTAAGACTAAATTGACATAATTGAAAATTTTATGACTAAATTGACAAGTCGTGAAAATATCTAGGATTAGATTGGCACAATTAAAATGTTTATAACTGAAATGGCCTTTGTATAATAGGCGATGGTGGTTAGAAGTTCGATCCTCCAACTAGCCTCGGGAGGTGGGGCCGGCTAGCAACAGCTGGCATTAGCAAAAGGAAGTGTCTTATTTGTATCCATCTACTTTTTCAACTTTCTATTCACCGAAGTAGATAAATAGAAAATAAATATTTAAGCGAAATCTACCTACTTCTTCATCCCCCTTACTTCATCTAGTCAACTCAATTTTTTTTTTTTATCGACATTCTCATTATGTGTGCATTATATAAACCTAACTTTTGAATTTGGTGGCCTTCCCAAAATGTCATATTTGACCCTAATAAATATATAATATAAGAATTTGACCAATTTATGTACAGGCTAACACCATAAAAAATTCTAAACTAGTACACATGTGATAAATTTATCCCAAATTAATTTTTTGACCATTAAAAATGCTAAACTGGTATATCTGCAATAAATTTACCTCAAACAAATTTTTTGACCATAAAAAACCCCAAACTAGTACACCTGTGACAAATTTATCCCAAATTCATTTTTTGACCACAAACAAATCCAAATGAGTACACATGTGACAAATTTACCTCAAACTAACATTTTGACAACAAAAAACCCCAAACTGGTAATCCTTTGACAAATTTACCCTTTGTTAGCGGACCGATTTGTGATTTTTTGTTGTATTTATCCTATAGATTTCCACGTGGACTTGCCACGTCACCATACCATGTCACCACCATGTGTCATCCAGGTCAGTAAATTTTACAGTAAAATTTGTCGGAAGTTAACGAAGGATAATTTGTCACACGTATACCAGTTTGGAATTTTTATTGGTCAAAATATTGATTTGGGGTAAATTTGTCATATGTGTACAAGTTTGGGACTTTTTTGTAGTTAAAAAATTAGTTTAGGGTAAATTTGTTATAGGTGTATCAGCTTGGGGTTTTTCGTGGTAAAAAAATGAGTTCGGGATAAATTTGTAATAAGTGTATTAGTTTGAGGCTTTTCGTAATATTAATCCATGTATATATAATGTTAGAAGAGTATACTTTTGAATTTAATATCCACCCTTAGAAAGCTAAGATTTAATTCATATTTGCCAATATGTTTACATTACACAAATATTTTTTTATTAAAAGAGAAGGTATTAAGAAATCAATGCCTCCAAACAGAGCATAAAATGCTTTAATTTTTCTAGCATAATTTGTCATGCGCCTTGGACGCATGCATGATGCTCTGGTGTACTAATAAATAGTGGGGTAATAACACTGTAGATGAACTTTTGCTGTTTTATGATCGAGAACCTCAACATTATTTTTGTTCTTGTTCGATTAAGTATCTTAATTTTTCAAATGTGGATCAACATGAAACTTTTGATAAAACCACAGATAGTAAATGCCGAATTGGTAAGGCTAATAAATTGTCGTCACATACCTCTTCAAAGAATGTAATGTTTACATAGTCATATTAGATGGCCAAGATCGTCCAAGTTAGTATTTTCTCTTTCTTAGCATCACCCAACACCTAAATGAAGATGGCCATGACTTTTGCTTAGTAAACGAGCCACGTAACAAACTCAAATGAAATGACGATTTTTCTAACGGAGTTGTTACATTGATTCACTTTGGAAAAGTTGAGGAACTTGAACAAGAAAAAGTCTATGTACTTGATTGTAACACGGATAAAAATTCAGGTATTTGAATGTAATTATCAAACAAAGTTGACTTTGAACAGCTATAGTGCAGGAAAAAGCTTCCAAAAATAGGGTTGTACAAATTCTGTTTTTTTTTAAGTTCAAGTCTTTCTTTTGTAATTATATAACTTTATTTTAAATTCTCAGCGAGTAAGCAACGAGCATAAGAGCCCCACCTCCGTTGATTCTCCTCTCGCCCTCTCTCTCTCTCTCTCTATCTCTCAAATAGCAAAAGACAGAGAGCAGAGATCTTGACTTTCCAAGCCAAGCCGAAGAAAGAAGAAGGAAATGGCGACCCAGCTCATCGCGGCGCATCGGGACAACGCCGAGGTCTACGAAGGGGACTCCCTGTGCAAGCTCAAGTCCCGCGAGCTCCTCTCCGAGATCAACCTCCCCAAGGGCCTCCTCCCCCTGGACGACGCCGTCGAGGTTGGCTACAACCGCTCCGCCGGCTTCGTCTGGGTCCGGCAGCGCAAGCCCAAGGTCCACCGCTTCCGCGCCATCTCCCGCAGCGTCTCCTACGACGCCGAGGTCACCGCCTTCGTCGGGGACCGCCGGATGAAGCGACTCACCGGGGTCAAGAGCAAGGAGCTCCTCTTCTGGGTCACCGTCTCGGACATCTACATCGACCGGAACGACCCGGGCAAGATCACCTTCGCGAATTCGACCGGGCTCTCGCGGTCGTTCCCGGTGTCGGCCTTCGAGGAGGAGCAGGAGGAGCAGGGGCAGGAAGCGAAGGGCCGGACTGACGGATGAAGCACGAGATCGAGAATAGCCGGAGATGATCGAGGGTAATTTTGGAATTGTGTCTTTGATATTTACTTGATTAGCCGTGTGTTAATTACGTGATTATTGCTAAATTCCAAATTATGCGTACCCACCACGCGATGGTCGCTGTCAATTCGCGTCGACGATGGTGTGGTGGTGGGGTTGTGCGTGGAAGCGAGATTGTCTGATTGGCAGCTACGGAAATCTGTCTCTTTTTTCTTTTTCAAATTTTTTCTTTTTTTTTAAATTTTTTTCTTTAGATTTTGATGAGATGTGAGGAAATGCATGATATGTCAAAAGGAATTGTTTGATGAGTTAAAGGAAAGTATCTAAAAAGGTATATTTAGCTGAAAAAGGAAAATTGTGTTAAAAGAATGGAATAAGTGTATTGTCCTAAAATTTTCAAAAAATACAATTAAATCCTAAAATTTATAAAATTAGTTTGATCAAGTCCTTTCGTTAATTACACTTTTTGAAAATTTTAAAATTCGATTGCACATTCATGACAAGATTTAGAATTTGATTGCACATTTTGAAAGTTTTAGGGACTTGAATGCATTTTTTAAAAGTTTTAGGACTTAATTGCATTTTCGAGATAAGTTTTATGACTTCTAATGCACTTATTCCTAAAAGAATTGAGTATGTTCTTGACCCTCCAATTCTTTACGTGGACATCACACAATCAATCATAGAACGCATCTTGTTCTTCACCTCATTTCTTGTAAATTTACGTTTTCAATTTAATTTATATTGCTGGTAATGATTGTTTCCGGTACTTGCATCTTTAAATTTCTTGTCATGTAACTTTTATATCCAAAATTCATTAAAAGACCCTTTCTATAAACCTTTGTCGATTTAATCGATTCTCAGTTGAAGAAATTTCACTTTGTGGGCGTTTGTTGGGTTTAAAGAGATTGTAATGGTGACAACTAGGAACCCAAAGGAGGCCAATTATGTTGCTGGTGATTGACCTAGCACCACAAACCGGTGATGTTCAAGCACGTTCTAAATCTTCTGCTGCTAGAAGGGCGGCATAAGGTAGCCAACGAGAAGAAGTGGATCTTCCAAGGCATCTCACTGAGGTATAGCTGAGAGAGGTTGCACCAAATCCTAACATGGTGTTAGCCATTGGAAGATTGCTCAAGGAGTAGCGGAATGACATGACCAACTACATTGTGAGTCATATGTCAGACGTAATCAAACCAGTGGTCATTAATGCTATGAATGATGCATCGTTGAGACTAGGATCGTCCAATCTACCACTACAAGGAAATCCAATAGTTCCTACTCCTCCTCCATCTTAGTATAATAAGAATTACTTAATTTGACTGTCGCGCCACGCCTTTTTCGCATGCTAAGGAGGTACTTTCATTTATCACGAATGGGGAAACTATCCCCGAATGGGCTATTAAGGTCCGATGCGGATATTTTGCCCATATGTCCCATAGACATCCCATCACTAGACAAACGGGAGGTTTTTCCTAGATCATACCTCACGTGACAGTGGGTTGTGATTTTTTTTATTATTCTATTCAATCTAGGTTTTTGATTTGGAGTCGCCACTAGTCATTATTGGTAGGCTAACTAGAAACTTTATTAAGGTACGGGAGAAATATCACGATTCTGCGAATCAGAGATTCTGAATACGGGGACTTAGTTACGCTAATGATCCCAAATCGAGATCCTTAACGTCATTTTGGTACGTAAAACAATATGATGTATCTAACATGCCACACGAGTTTTCGAGGTCTATCCATAAATACTAACCATTCTAAATGTGAGAACTCAATCAATCAATATAAGCAACACAATCAATTGCAATCAAACAAAACAATCATAATTTGGGTCTCTAAAATGAAAATCAATTCAAAACACTAAAACCTAGTAAAGCTCTAAAGGCTTATTCATTTGGTGATGTGTGTTGTTTTGGGGTTTAGGGTTGTTTAGGGGTAAAAACCCATAAATTAAGGATTTTCTAAAAATGCCATTTAGGCACCTCTAAAAATTCTAATTTCACTTGCAAAGGTTGGCCACAATGTTCTTGGGTCATTTTGCGAATTTTTGAAACTTTTGATTTTTTTTTTTGAAGTCGAATTTTTTATTTTCTGAAAATTTTTCCAAAATTTTTATGGGATTTTTGGAGTTTTTTCAAATTTTTAAGAATTTTCTAAAATTTTCTGATTTTTATGAATTTTCTAAAATTTTCTCATTTTTATGAATTTTCTAAGAATCTTTGAGATTTTTATGGATTTTCTAAAATTTTCGATTTTTTTTATTTTCTGAAAATTTTTGAGTTTTTATGAATTTTTTTATAATTTTTATGAAGTTTTCTGAATTTAATTTTTTTTGAATTTCTGAAATTTTTATTGAATTTTTGAATTCTTTTAGAGATTTTCTGAATTTTCTAATTTTTATGAATTTATGAATTTTTTATATATATTTTTTTAATTTTTTATTAGATTTTTTATTATTTTTTCAAAAAATCCCGCCGAAGAGGCGAATCGGACCGGCCCAGTTCAGGCTGGTTGGGTCAAGTTGAATCGGCCGGCATCGGCGTTGGCCACTACTCCGGCCGGCACAGCATCGAAACGGTGCCGTTTGGCCCTATGCTCATTGTGGCATTTCGCCAAGCAGGTGGTGGGCATAAACAAGGCTTGAAGGTTCTCAAGACCGCCGGTTTGAGCTCGCCGCCGACGACCTTCCGGTGAGTTTTTTGCCATTGTTTTAGGTTCTGAGTATTGTCCTAATCATCCATTGTCAATCTAGCCTAACCATTACGCCGTCGGACTACTATCGGCCAGCGAAAAACCGATTCCAAAACCCTAACTTGCAAACTTATATAAAACAAGCTGTTCTAATCCTCAAATCATCATATAGAATGCCTTAGCCGTCTAAATCGATTCAAACAACAATCAAAGCAAAGAAAAAGGTCGAAAATCACTGACTTGTATAGCCTAAACCACTATAGGCACTCCATCACTAATTGGTATAGCCTAAACCACTATAGGCACTCCAGGGAGGTCAAGGTTGCTCCGGCGAAGTGATTTAATAGGTGACCGACTCACTTCATGCAGGTTTAAGCATTCAAAATGCAATCAAACAATGAAAAACATGATTAGAACATGTTTTAAGCATCTATAATTGCAAAATCACAAAGAAACACACATGATTGAGCTCGATTAAACTCAAACACCTATTCTTGAATTTTACCGAACTATGAGCATGATCGGACTTTACTTGCTTTGATGGAGATCAAGTCTGAAGTTTCGGTGCAAACAACGACCGTAGGGATGATTCTTTGACACTTTCTCTTGAAAACAATGAGCTTCTTCACTCCGGGAAAGCTTTGGATTGATCAGCCGAGGCACCGTTTCAGACCTTCACGGTAAGCTTTCTTGTAAGTTCGCCGGTGAGGAAACTCAACGATAGGACCGATTTGTCGGCGCTTTTTCGATCGAAAAAGCGCCGATCGCTTGGCCTCAAGAGTCTTTACTCACGCTTGCATTTGATCTCTCTCTCTCCTCTCTGGAATTTTCTCGAGCAGGTTCTCTTCTTTGGATAATGATTTTTTCCTCTGTTTTGTAGCTCGATTTCCCGCCCAAAATTGGTTATCACCGACTTCAAATTGGTTAAATCGAATTTCCGATGCCAGCTGGAGATTCTCCAATTGAAATCGAAGATTAACACGTGCTTATTTGGTTGGATTAAGTCGATCAAGAGGAGGGCACAAGATATTTTCCTGGGTTTAGAACGTTCTGGGCGAGTCAGGTGAGGAAGAAGGCCGACCCGGGTTGGTCTAAATTTGCAGATTCGACCCGATTTTGATCCTATTTTTCGATTTTAATCCCAAAATTGGATCCCTCATTACATTTCACACCCAAATATGAGATTTGCCCTAATTTTTGTCACGATTAAATCCAAAATTCTCAAATTGTAAATTTGGATCATTAGTGTTTTTGTTCAATTTAACATTTAGATGACCTGATTGGGAAAAATTGATGCCAAAATTAGAATACCCATGATTGATTAACCCTAGAAATGATGGTCTCATGGTTCGAAAATTTCAAATTGATAATGATCCCCAATTTGTGCTAAAAATCCCTAATTTTCAATCGGATTTTGGGGCTTTTTCATTTCTTTTATAAATTGTGCAATTGGACCAACCATTATGCAATTCAAGGTTCCAGAATCATTTGTTGTGAAGACACTACAACTGAAAAATGACTAGAAATGAATTAATTGAATTTTTGATTCAATTTGGGCTTGTTTTTACCCAATTTTGGGAAAAACACGTTCCCAACTGAAATTTTATAACATTAACACTGTATTAATGAAATTGGATTTAAAAGAAGACTAATGACTATTTTTATGGAATTTTTGGATTCCATTTGCTATTTTTCTTGATTTTCACCCTTATTTCGACCAAAATAAATTAAAGAAAAATTCAGGACATTTTTAAAAAAATTATTTTTGGTTTAGAAATAGGTTCCTAAGCTTGGCCAAGGTTCCTAATTCTAATTTTGTGATCTTTGGAGAAATCTGAAAAATGAGCTAAAAATCAGATGTCAACATTAACATGCTAAAATAATAAAATACACAACACACAATAAACCTAGGTTCCAATTAAACCATGATTTTAACAACGGCGGATAAATATTAAACGGTGCTAGTGCGTTCCCAGGCGAACCCGCGAGAGTTCGCTTGGGGCTTGCCGAATAGCCGAAACGAGGCTGAAAGTTCGTCACGGAAGGTCTTGATGATGACTAACAGCCCAATCTCAAAACGTATACATTTCACAAAAATGTTAATGACGAGGAATTGGCGCCAAATTAACATACATAAACTGCGTCACATTTTTATTATGTTAGCATATATACTTAGATGGCCTAAAATGACATTTAAATTAGGCTTATATTCCTCAATTAAATCTAAATAGTATCTGGGCATAGGGATAAAAATCACAAGAACGCGAATTACATAGTTCAAACCCAACCTCCATGGCTTTTAACGCCAAGAATACATTTCAACACAAATCCTAACTTGTATAAGCACCTCATACGAGCATAGGTGCCTCGATATACATCATGAATGAACCAAAATCATTTCTCTTTCGTTCAGGAACTTACAGGAGGGACTGGTTGAGGTCTTGGAGAGCTGCAAATCACAGGTAGAGTGATTGTAATTTGCAGCTCTAGCTGCTGCAACTTGCAGCTTATGGTCCTCTCCTTGTCTTGCTGATCACACACATCCGTGAACATCACACACACATCCACAGTCAGCATTCGAAGCTCCTACACAACACATCCATTTTTACACCTCCAGCACACACACCACCCTTACAGTAAACATACACAGCTCACGCACACCCATACCAGCAGTTCACTCAGTTTTGCACCAGCTCTCGCCTAACAAATCACACACGCATAAGCAACACCCTCATTCAACTCACACCAGCACATTCAATTGTGCAGCAACATCACGACGTCATCGCGCCACACGTGCACATCTCACAAATTACAGCATGTACATAATGCGCATACAGCTCACATGCTTCCAGTACCCATTTTCGATGCTCACAATGAACACACACAACTCGTGTAAAGCATCACCAGTAACCATGCACTAACATAACACTCCTAAGCATGCTCTTCTCTCTCCCTTAACACACGCAGTACACATTACAACTCACACATAAACAGTGGACACCAGCAACTTAAACTTACACACAAACAATTTAAGACAGCCCAAAAATGTAGTATACATTCACCTGCCATACACCTAATTCACAACAAAAGTAAATCAGGCTACATGTGCATACCAGTTTAGACCAGCAACCAAAACATGGCTCCTATCTCAACCTTTCTCCTTAAAATGTTATAACAACTTAGCTAAGATCTTTATCCTTGTTGCTCTGGCTTGTGGTTCTTGGCCAAGAAAACGAAGAAACAACTCCCCTGAGAACGCCTAAAGTTGGTCCCTCCAACTGGAATGAAAGATCTGCAAAACAGACTGCTCGCCAAGGTTTTTGCAAGCCTTCAAAACTCGACTCCTGAACCATGCTTGCCCATTTTTCTACCATAAATTTAAACTATCGTGTCCTAGTTTATTTTCTCCCTACCTGTTTGGCTCAACTTTTATTTGTTTTCCCATAAGCTCTCCCTTTCCCTCGCTTTCAACCAGTTGGTCCACAATAATTTTTCTTTGGGATAAGTGTACTAGAAGTCCTAAAACTTATCACGAAAAT